TATATACAAATATGTTTTATATATATACAAATAGTTTTACAAATAGCTGTTTGCACTTTGCAAAACTCAAAGTAGTATATTTTGCATAATGTGTATAAAAACAGTTTTCTAAAAAAATTTTTTAATCACCTATTTTGAATTTTTTACAATTATATATCCATACTATTATTTTTGGTGGTTGCATTGCACATCATGGTTTATTATCCAGTCCCTTGCTGATAGACATTTAGCCTGTTGCTAACTTTTGGACACCATAACAAATGGTTTGGTTAAGTTAATCGACATTTTGGTTAAGTATCATCTAATTGCTCTCCAGAAAGATGTACCAGTTTACATTCTTACCATAAATGATTCAGAATTCTCTTTTGCTGTGTTTTTACCAACAGTGGGCTTTGCCTTTTTAAAGGACAATCTTTGCTAATCTAATGGATGAAAAATTACCTCATTACTTCTTAAATTTTGTTTTTATTATTGAGGTTGAGTATATTTTGATGTATAGTGGGCACTCATGTCTTCTCCAAAATGCTTGTTCTTACTCCATTCATTTTACAACTTTTGTTATCTTATTCTTACAATTTGTGTATGGTATAGTCATTTAACACTTTGTTATATATATGTTTAAACATTTATATATTTTTGACATATATAAATGTTTTTACTATATGATATATAAATATTTAAATATATATGCCAAAGTGTTAAATGGCTATATTATACACAAATCTATCTCTATGTATTTTATATATATTTCAATATTTTTCTCTATTTCTTTCTAAGAGAAGATTTCCCTCAAAATTTATGGGTTTATGTGGCTTTTCTAAACACACAAATGTTAAAATTTTTAAATTGTCAAATCTGTCAATCTTCTGTTTTTTTATTTCTGACACTGGTATCATCATATTTATTTTTTAAAAGATGGCAAAGTTTAACTCTCTTCAAAGAGTATTATTAGTCCATTTTTACACTGCTATAAAGATACTACCTGAGACTAGGTAATCTATAAAGGAATGAGGTTCAATTGACTCTCAGTTCCATATGGCTGGGGAGGCCTCAGGAAACTTTACACTCGTGGCAGAAGGTGAAGAGGAAGCAAGAACCTTCTTCATATGGTGGCAAGGAAGAAGCGCAAGCAGGGGAAATGCCAGATGCTTACAAAACCATCAGATCTTGTGATAACTCATTCACTATCATAGGAACAACATGAAGGAAACTGCCCCTATGATCCAATCACCTCCCTCCATGAACACACGGGGATTACACTTCGAGATGAGATCTGGGTATGGACACAGAGCCAAACCACCAAATCATACCAGAGTAGTCAGTTACCATCTAGGTAAAATCTCAATCTCTCAGTCTCTGTTGCATACCACATTCTATTCTTACCATATTCAGCTAAATTAATATCCCGCAACTTCTAAATGCAAACTGTCTTTTGGTGAGCTTAGTTTCTTGTATATCTTGATGCACGGGCTCTAGAGTAAAGAAAAAGGTTAGAATTCTGACTCAACCATTATCAACAGTATGAGAAGAGCTTTTTGAGCTTTAGCTTCATATTTAAGCGGGCTCAGCACTAATGTGAAATTATGTGTACTAAACAACAAATGTTAACATATAGTTGGCACTTAATGAATACAGTTCTCCAGCCATCCCTCCATGTTTTTGCTTATCCTGGAACATCTTTCTGTGACATCATTCCCCTCTTCTCCATGCTGCAATACTTTACCTACCTATCTGGGCGAGTTCTATTGAGACTCCTTCACAAAGGTTTCCATAGAACAGGGAGCTTACTATGCATCTTACACAGTTTGTATGTCCTATATTACCATTTTAATGTTTCAGTCATGTTTCATGAGCCAAACTGTAAGTTTCGGGAAGGTCCGTCCTAGTGCTTGGCATTTAAATGCACCCAATAAATATTTGTGGAATGGATAAACAAACAACTTTTAAAAAGGTGCATGAGATGGGGTATATTGGCAAATGTAATAAGACTCGCTAAAAATTTGTGTTTAAAAATTAGCCTAATTATTGTGCTTGGGACACAAAATTGGTGACTAATTTAGTAGATGTACCCATATGTATTTTGCATTATAGCACTGACTATTCTAATAGTTTAATATATCACTGGAGTATGCCGCTGGTAAATATTTCTAATAGTTTGATATACTGTACTTCTTCAGTTTTAAGAACAATTTGGTACCACGTTTTAATTTTTCTGAAACTCAGATATGTCTCACTATCAAATAAACAGCTAGTGACCAGGTGACAGTGATGGTATAGTTGGCATTGCCTATTTGTGAACGTGGGCATAAATGGGCATCATTTCTACTAAATTCTATGAAATTTAGTCCTACATGTCTCAAAGCCATATGCCAAGAAACACAATTGAAGGCAGGAGAAATTACCAGATGTGACAGATTAGGCGAAAGAAATTCTGAAGCAAAAAGAGGTTGATATAACTAGTTCATGTATCATGCAGGACTATGGTTAAGGCATGAAACAACAATTTGTCAGAAACTCTCTCCTGGCCATTAATAGAGAAGCTGCATAGCTTGTAGTGACATACAACTCAGTTGAACAAGAAAATTATTTATTTAGTCAAATGGAATAGTGCCAGCATCACATCTACAGAATGAGTGTCACTGTCTAGGAAGCAAATCCCAGAGACAAGACTGGAACATCCTTTTAAGAAATGGTGTACTATCAATGACATTGTGCAGAAAAACACACATATGAACGTTTCACATGAAAAGATATTCAGAAGAATTAGGCTCAATGTTCAGGACTTCAGTAAATTTATTTTGCTTATATTTTCCTTTTCCACATATACACAGTACTGAACAACTCTATGTATAAGTGTCTAAAAGCACTCAGTAAATATAGAGTAAAAGTTCTATATAATATCACATTTTGTCAGTTTAATTAGCAGCTCTTTTCCTTTCTTGGTGGCATATGTAATTGAAGGTATCTTAGATTTGAATAGATAATGATAAATTGAATAGGCACTAGGTCTGTCAGTTTGTAAACTTCCCTTAGTGAACGACTAGAGCTTGGTGTTTTGTTGTTGTTTTGGTAGGTATTTTGTTGTTTGTTAGAAATGAGGTAAGCAGATCCTATAAAGTCTTCACAAATATCAGTTACACTTGTTTGTAGAAGCAACAGAATTTCAAGAAAAGCCACCTTCTCACATCACCACTTACAGCTTCTTAATATAGGTCACAGGTTGCATTTTGAATTAGGTAAACACTGCATTTGTCATTAGGTAACCACTTCTGAAATTAATTTATTTTTCCAATATAACAGCAACACATATTTGTATAGAAAACAGCCTATATTAAAAAAATGTCTATGTATCTCTGTGTGAGTATGTAATTAGCCATATATATTCCAACCAATTTGGAATATTTCTTTTTTAAAAAATTTGTTATACATTTTTGATGCCACTTCTTCTTCATTTATGAAAATGTATCAAAGTAATATATATTCATTGTACAGTATATTTTGCAAGCACAGAAAAATATCAAGAAGCATGAAACACATTATCCTTCATCTCACCACCCAGAGATCACGTCTTAATATTTTTGGCCATTGCATTCAATCTAGGGCGAAAACAGGTAGCACAACTTGCACACAGTGGATTCTCACTATATCCCTGCTGAATGCATGAATGCTGAAAGAGAACTTGGAGAAGGGCCCATATGTCTTGCTAATAGAATCAATTATACAGCTCTTATGGTCTATAATTCTTTGTCTTCTCAAGTTTGCCTTATTATTGTCTCACAGCAGGAGCTTGGCCAAGACATAGCCATCTTTCTGCTATTTGGCAACCAAGCATGTTGGAAGGAATGGCCACTGTTTTCACTTCATTCCTGTCATTCATTCACTCTCACTCATTAAATAAATATTAAGTGCCCATCATGTGCCTGAAATAAGGAGAAGAAAAAAAAAAAAACACGACCTCTGCCCTCATGTAAATTACAGTGTAAAGACAAAACAGACAATAAACACACACACACACACACACACATATATATATACACACACACACACACAATTTGATAAGTGCAGAAATAGAAGGAACAAGTAGCTGGGAAAATAACCGGGGCAATGGTATAATTGAGGGGACAGAGAAGGCCTTTCTGAGGCAGTGACAAGTCAGAAAGTCAAGAAGGAACGAGAGAGAAGGTTCCTGAGGCTGTCAAACTTTGAATGTGGCCGAATAAATCATAAGGGAGAAAATGATGGCGGAAAGACTAGGCTGAAGAGGTAGGGCAGTAAGTAGTCCAGTGTCTTGTAAGCCAAGGATTTTGAGTTTTATTCTATGTACTGCTGGAAACCAATACTTTTCTTGTCGTGTAAATTGAGTTTATTTTTCATAGATAGCTTTCAAGACTCAAAGCATACAAGTACCAAAAATAATTATATGAAAACTCTCCCTCACTCCGGTTTCCTAGTCACCCAGTTTCCCTCCTCACAGCTGCTAGGCGTCTTTCCTACGGAAAGACTTTAGGCACAAACAAGCACATCAATCTGTTTATATTATAATGCATTTTCAGCAGTGGAACCAGCCCATCAGATAAGACTACCTGAATGCTGAAAGGGCATGACTGCGTTAGAGCTCTGCACTGCTGCCCATGCATCTCACAAATTCTACTCCGCCGCGTTCTCGGTTTTAATACCGGAACTCTAGGGTTCAGGGCTTCGTAAACTGCATTTCGGCAGGGCTCCATAGCTTGTTCTCACGCTGTGTCCCTCGGCAACGGCCCTGCGCGCCTGCACTCCCGTGCAGCCGCCACCACCAATCCGCAACTTCTAGCCGCAAACGCTGGAGCTCAGAACCCAGCTCAGGTGCGCTAGTCTGTTTCCCAGGGAGACTGGGGCCAACCGTAGGCATGCGGGGGCGGGAAGACAGCTTCTTGTGACTGCCACTGAGGCGGATCTGGGCGGGGCCGAAATGGGGGGCGGGGCCAAGTCTGGGGGCGTAGTCAGGCGTGGGGGCGGGCCCGGCGCCGCCGTCGGCTGCCCAGCTCTCCTGAACTCTCGCGGCCGCGCTTAGGTCCCGGACCCGGGCCACCCACGGGGCAGTGGGTGCTCCTTGGCCCCGGACATTGCAAGCCCCAGAAGGTAAATTTGCCTCGGAGCCGAGCACCTGGAACACGAGGGTACCCACGATGAGGGCGGGCGGCTGGATGGCGACAGAAGGGAGCGTCGCGCGGCGAGTTTCCCGAGAAAGCTGAACTCGTCCCAAGTTTCTTGTGCCTCGGCTTGCACTCAGTGAATTGGTGGCGGGCTCGTTTGGTGCGGGTGGTCTTTTGGCGCGGGAGGGACGCGGAGGTGATCGGATTAATTCGCCTGGGCCGCAGCCCAGATTTCTGACTGGGAACGCGCACCGCTGTGGTGCAGTTTTTGCCCGAGAAAGGGCGGGTAAAGTGCGGTGCAGTCGAGTCCCGCGCTCCAGCAGGGGGACCGCCGGACTCGAAGCGCGCGAGTCTGCCAGGCGTGCCGGGCTGTCGGGAGGTACAGTTCCATAACTTCTTTCCTCTTTAGGCAAGACTAACTTGGCGTTGCTCCTCCCGGGGCTGACCTCGAGGCCCGGCTATGGACCGCGAGAGCGAGGTGGATTTTTCTAGCAACAGCATAACGCCTTTGTGGCGGAGGCGGTCGATCCCTCAGCCCCAGCTGCTGGGCCGGAGCAAGCCGAGGCCCCAGTCCTATCAGAGCCCCAACGGGTTGCTGATCACGGATTTCCCAGTGGAGGACCGAGGGACGCTCCCCGCGGCGCAGATTCCCGCCCAGGTTCCCGCCGCTTCGGACAGCAGGACGGTGCACAGGAGCCCCCTGCTTCTGGGCGCCCAGCGGAGAGCGGTGGCCAATGGTGGGATGGCCTCCCCGGAGTACAGGGCTGCCTCTCCTCGACTTCGACGACCCAAGTCACCCCAGGTCCCTAAAGCGGTGCCGGGCGGCTCCCCGAAGTCCCCAGCAAACGGCGTCGTGACCTCCCCTGTGCCGCCGCCGGTGCTGCGCCCCCCGCGGACTCCTAACGCGCCCGTCCCCTGCACCCCCGAGGAGGACCCAGCGGGGTTGACTGCCAGCCCGGTGCCTTCGCCCACTGCAAATGGCCTTACGGCTAATAACGACTCTCCTGGCTCGGGTTCGCAGTGTGGCCAGAAGGCTAAGGATCCCGAAAGGGGGCCCTCTTCTGCGCCCCAGAAAAGTTCTTCGGAACATAAACTCCCCCTCCAAAGGCTGCCGTCCCAGGAGAACGAGCTCCCCGAGAATCCTTCCGTGGTTTTGAGTACAAACAGCCCCGCCGCTCTCAAAGTGGGAAAGCAGCAGATCATTCCGAAGAGTCTGGCCTCAGAAATTAAACTCAGTAAATCCAACAGTCAGAATGTGGAGCCCCACAAGAGGCTGCTTAAGGTGCGCAGCATGGTGGAGGGCCTAGGAGGATCCCTGGGTCACGCAGGGGAGGAGAGTGAGGTCGATAACGACGTGGATAGCCCAGGGTCTCTGCGGAGAGGCTTGCGGTCCACTTCTTATCGCAGGGCAGTGGTCAGTGGCTTTGATTTTGACAGTCCTACCAGCTCGAAGAAGAAGAACAGAATGTCCCAGCCTGTTCTGAAAGCAGTAATGGAAGACAAGGAGAAGTTTTCCAGTCTGGGAAGGATAAAGGTAAAAGTGGGCAGGAGTGTGGGATGTCATTCACTAAACCAAAAGTAGATATGTTGGGGGTGGGTAGGGGGAGCATAGAGGAAACCAGAAGTCATTCCCTTACCATTCTGTGATTTGCTGTTGATTACTAGTGCACATCCAGCTCTTGGCCACTTTGATGCTGTCAGGCAGAGCAGAGTTTAATGCAACTCTGTGAGAAGAAGTGAAATTCATCCCTTTTTTTTTTTTTTTTTTTGAGGGAGACGGAGTTTCGCTCTTGTTACCCAGGCTGGAGTGCAATGGCGCGATCTCGGCTCACCGCAACCTCCGCCTCCTGGGTTCAGGCAACTCTCCTGCCTCAGCCTCCTGAGTAGCTGGGATTACAGGCACACGCCACCATGCCCAGCTGAATTTTTGTATTTTTAGTAGAGACGGGGTTTCACCGTGTTGACCAGAATGGTCTCGATCTCTTGACCTCGTGATCCACCCGCCTCGGCCTCCCAAAGGAAATTCATCACTTTTAACTTTCTAAGCTCAGGCAAAATTGGGGGGACAAAAGGGAAATATTTATGGCAGATTATTGGCTGAGTCTTGACCACTTTTAAAAGAGATAGCTGAAAGGGGGAGGAGCGTGCTTAGAACTGCACTCTTGACTGCCTCAAGTTGCCTGGTGTTTGCTTAGAGGTTTCAGTCAATGGTAGCTGTTATCACAGCTGATTCAGAAAAATACTGATTCCTGTTTGAGCCCGTTATTTTCTGCTTTTACTTACTGAATTGTTTTTTGAGTGGTTATTACACACTTGAAGTCATTCAGGTAAAATGTGAGTTTTAAAATCAATTGACAGGATCATAATAGACACATATATTTTGTTATCCTTTTGCTTGCTTGTTTTTGTCACCAGGCCTTTGGTTGTATATTAGTCCCGTTGTATGCTCATTCATCCTTCAGTGCATTTAACAAGTTGGTAGCTGAAAACGTCATGTTAGGGTGACACTGTGTGGTACTGGTCACCTATATTGTCCCATTAGCTGCACTTACTAAAATATTGCCAAGTGTGACATAAAGAAATAGGAAAACTGAAGAGGGAAATTTTGGCGTGTGTGCTGCCTTCCATAGAAACAAGACAGATCTCAGCAATAGGGCAGAGATTCGTTTTGGCAGCCACATTTTTTCTTGATTAATCAGAGCACTGGAACTAGTCTATATAAATGCCACATATGTAATACACAAGCAAGTCTGTTTTATTTTAGAGCCTATGGTCTTAAAGAAAAAAAATTACATAACATTTTATGTGTTTTTTCCAACTCTGCAACTATAGCAAAGTTCAATTTAACAGTGATGGTTAATCACAAGTAGTAAAATGAGCTGACCTGCTAGTCATTTGAGGATACTCAATCTGTTTTGACAGGGTGTGGGGGATCTTGAACATTTTATTTCACTATTTCAGTGAATTGTAGTGATCAACTGAGTGAACTGCTCTAGGGCTCAGCTGCTGTGTGCTCTTGGGAATCTAATTAATGTAATGACAAAATAAAATAGCTGTATTTTCTATTTGGGTATTCATACGGTTTTCTTTTTCTTTTTTTTTTTTTCTTTTTACTTTTCTTGTCTTTTAGAAAAAAATGCTGAAAGGACAAGGAACATTTGATGGGGAAGGTAAGCATTTAATTTTCCAAACTTTTATTGCTGTTTCAATGTGGAATACCAATTATAAGTGGAAATCCAACTGCAGTAACAAAAATACTTAAGATGAGAATGTCCAGCTTCTTCCCAAATTATACAGTCCAAACCTTCTCACCAAGCTAAATTTTTATCTAGTAGTACTAATGGTGAATATAGTTAGTGGCATTTTTTATAGGCTGATAACTTTTTCAGTCAATGTCCTGGGATTTTTAATTCTTCTCTGCCTTGGCTCCAACCCCATGTCCCTCAAGGAAACAGAGAAAGAACAAGAACAAGCTAGCTTTTTAGTTAAAAATTCTGAGTTTGGCATTTAGATCTGAGGTCATATTTCTTTAGGTCACATTTCCTTTGACTTAATATTCTGCCCATATTTCCACATTTTATTATCATTTCTGACTTCCTGTTTCTTTATTAAGTTTCAGCTTTGGGGGAAATCTAACTCTCCTGGCTGACAAAAACATATTCTTAAGAATTTGCAACCCATATAGTATTTTTGTTAAGGATCTCAAAAACAACAGAAGCTTCAACCAGGTGTTCAGACCCTAATCAGATTATTGGACTTTCTGTAAATAGATGGGTCAAGTGTCAGCCAACTGGAAGAACATGAAGGGAGCAGTCCCAGCTGTAGCGCTTGTTGGGCTGGAGGGTCACACTGGCAGTGAGGATAGTTAGTTTTTGCCATGTTTTGAAGTGTGAAGATTTTCCAATCTTCAAAGAATAGTGAAGAAAGGAATGCCCCTCTATAAGTCAAGCAAATATACAACCACCCAGAGTTATAAAATATGTAACCTTTGGTGATTGTCAAATAATTCCCTAAATAATTTTTTACCAAGATGAGTTTCCCATTGGAGCATTTAAAAATGACTCATCTATAAAAATTCATTCACTGCACCAACCTTAGGAAACCCAGATAGAGTATTTAGCTGGTTGGAATAAGTTCATCTCCCTAATTTTATAATTGAGGAATCCAGAAGATCTGAGAGATTTGGTGACTTATTTACTGTCACACCTAGTTACACAGCCAGTAGTAGGACATGGACCTGGTTCTTAAGTCTAGTTTGCTGCTTCTTGTAGCACTCTGACTGTGAAGTGAACAGCATCTACCTAATATTTACCTAAGGAGATGCTGCTTTACATCCCCTGGAATTTGGTATTTATTTTTGTGAACTTTGCCTAAGAGAGTTTAAAATTTTTAGATTTTTTTAAAGTCAGAGAGTAGACTTCATTATAGCTAGTTTTATTTTGTTTCCTTTTATAGGAGCTGTTTCTGTTTATCCTCTCATTTCTTCTCAAATATAGTGACTTAGAAATTTTTTTCACATATATGTACATGAGGAGTGCAGGATTCTTACAGTTAATGATTAACAAGAATATAACTCAGGAAACAATATGGCCAAATGGTGAGAATCTGTGATACTGGAGCCAGGCAGACCTGGTTTCCTGTCCTGCTGCTCCTATTCATCAGTTGAGTGATACTGAGAAAAACCCTTAATATCACTGGGCCCTCATTGAGCCATCTTATGTGTGAAATGAGGTTAATAATACTGTTGCCCACGTTGTTGTGAAAATGAATGAGAAATCTATCAACAATATTATGCATATACTTTGTGCCAACCACTGAGTAAAGACTACTGCAGACTCAGTTTTTACCCTCATAATCTACTTTACATGGCATGACAATCAGAGATGAGTAAAGTCTTACGTAGACTTCAGTGTTACTTTAGTCACAGTATATACAGAATAATCTATGGTTGATGAGAAAAGAGGCAGATGTTTGCTTGTTTTGGCAGATGGAAAAGGCAATTCAAACTCAAATTGTCCCAAGCCAAACTCATAATCTTCCCTATCAAACCTGAATGTCTTCTGGTTTTCCCATTTCCTGCTTTCTGGTTGTGAGACTTGCAGACCTAGGAAACATCCTTAACACCTCCATCTCTCTACCCCCATATCCAGTCTTTCACCAGTCTGTTCTATGTTATATAACACAAATCTTCACCATCTTTGATTGACTACCCCAATAGCATCTTAGTCTCCTAGGTAGTCAATGTTTTGCTCTCTAATCTACACAAATACTTCCTTTTTTTGGAGTTCTATTGTGTTCAGGAAAGACATGCAATCATGACAGAAACTCAATCCTTTTGTACTTAGGGTAAAATCCAGTTTTTAGCATTGCCTACAAATATTTCCTTCATTTGGATGGTCTGGTTGATCTCTCTAAACTCAACTTGTACACTGTGGCCACCAGATATACCCAAGCTTTAGCCACACTGACTTTTCCTAGTTCTTTTAAGATACAGCCATGTATCACTTAATGATGAGGATATATTTTGAGAAATACATCCTTGGGCAAATTTGTTGTTGTGCAAACATCATACAGCATACTTACACAAACCAGATGGTATAGCCTAGGATATTTGGTAGAGCCAATTGCTCTGAGGCAACAAACCTGTACAGCATGTTACTGTACTGAATAGGCATTTGTAACACAATAGTGTTTGTGTATCTAAACATAGAAAAAGTACAGTAAAAATACAATATAAAGAATTAAAAATGGTACTTTCCTATAGGCCTCCTACCTTGAATGAAACTTGCAGTACTGAAAGTTGCTCTGGGTGAGTCAGTGAGTGAGTGGTGAGTGAATGCAAAGGCCTACCTAGAACATTACTCTACACTATTGTAGACTTTATAAATACTGTAGACTTAAGCTGTGTTAAATTTATAAAACTTTTTTCTTCAATAATAAATTAAGTTTAGCTTACTGTAGCTTATTTTGTAAAATTCTAAATTTTTAAAAACTTTTAAACTCTTTGATTTTAACATGGCTTATAACACATACTGTACAGCTGTACAGAAATATTTTATTTCTTTACATACCTATTCCATAAGCTTTTTCCTATTGTAAAAAATTTTTATTTTTACTTTTTAAATTCTTTAGTTGAAACTAAACACATGCATTAGCCTAGGCCTGCACAGAGTCAGAATCATCAGTATCACTGTCTCCCATCTCAACATCTTGTCCCACAAGAAGGTCTTCAGGGACAATAACATGCATGAGCTGTCACCTCCCATGATAAGAATGTCTCCTTCTGGAATACCTGCCTGAGGCTATTTCACAGTTAACTTTTTTTTTTTTTTAAAAAGTAGGAGTACATGCTAAAATAATGATAAAAAAGTATAGTATAGTAAATACATAAAGCAGTAGCATAGTTGATTATCAGGTGTGAACTGTACATAATTCTCTGTGCTATTCTTTTGTATGATTGGCAGTGCAATAGGTTGTTTACACCAGTATTACCATAGATGTGTGAGTAATGTGGTACACTACAACGTTAAGATGGCTAGGTGGTAGGAAGTTTTTAGCTCCTTTATATTATATGGGACCACCATTGTGGATGTGATTTGGTTTGTCATTGATCAAAGCAATGTTATGCAGTGCATGACTGTATTATGTTTCCTCTTATGTTCCTGTTAGAGCTTTTGGGTGTGCTTTTCTTATAGCTCCGTAGCTTCTCAGCTTTCAGATCTTAGAATTGCCTCATTGACCAAATACCCAACTGCCAGACTAGATCACACCCTACTGACAGTCTGTTTGCACCTGTATATAAATCCTTCAGTGTGTAGGCATGTATTTGTGTAAGATCATTGTGTCCTCAAACCTATGGTGACTTGCCATCATATTTTGAGTAAAAATCAAAGTCCTTTCAGTGGCACTGAGGCAAGGCCCTACATGATTAGCCTTCTGCTCACCCTGAACTCCCATCTTTTTTTTTTTTTTTTTTTTTTTTTTGAGACAGAGTCCAGTCTGGAGTGCAGTGGCATGATCTTGGCTCACTGCAACCTCTGCCTCCCAGGTTTAAGTGATTCTCCTGCCTCAGCCTCCCGAGAACTGGGAGCACAGGGGCACACCACCATACCCGGCTAATTTACTGTATTTTTGACAGAGACAGAGTTTCACTATGTTGCCCAGGCTGGTCTCAAACTCCTAACCTCAAGCAATCTGCCTGCCTCAGCTTCCCAAAGTGCTGAGATTACAGGTGTGAGCCACCACACCCGGCTTCAACTCCCATTATCTATACTTTCCCGCCATTTTCTTGGTACTCCAGCCATGCAGTTGTTCTTGCTGCTCCTGGTATGTACAGACATACCAAGTAGACTCATGCTCAGGGACTTTGTACTTGCTGTGACCCCTGATAAGATGCTCTTTGGCCACCAATTTTTCATCAGAGTCAATGTCAAGGGCCTTTTCTTTGTAGTTTTGGTACAGAGGGCTCACTTTCTCACCTCTTTTATGTCTTTAGTTGTCACCCAGTGAGGCCTTCCTAAACTACCCTACTTAAAATCTACATGCCCTCGTCCCAGCGCTTTCCACCCCACTTCCCTGTTTCATTTTTCTTCATGATACTTACCGTCATCAAAAATACTGTCAAAGTTACTTGCTTATTTATTGCAATTCTCTCAAGCTTTAATAGCAGCTCATGAAGATTGAGATTTTTATTTTTTGTCTCTTATTGTATTCCATTCGCTAAACTGTTGCTGGTTCCTAGTAGGTGTTTTCTAAGTAACAGTGGAATGAATAAATGCATGAGTGAATTTGACAGCTTTTCTTATTAAACTGTTAGCTCATGAGAGGTGGATGAGGGCATGAGAGTTGTCTTTCGTTTTCCATTTTACTCTCCGCCCCTGGCACATCATAGATATACAATAAATGTTTGTTACATAGATAAATGAATGGTGATGGACCATAAAGAAAAGGTAGGATCTAATTTAACTTGTATTACAGTGATTTAATAGGACTGACTGTCCTTCATGGGTAGTGGACAGAAACATGGAAACTTTGCTTCTGTTGGCATTCTCTGTATGGGTCCCTCCCGTCTCCTGCGGTAGAGTTTGAGATAGAGCTATGTGAATGAGAAAATCACTTTTCTATAATTATTCTTCAGGGACTAAATCTGTTTGTCTCTTTGTTGTTTATATAATTGGAGACCAAACATTGGATACATATGACGTTTGTTTAGAACAAGTTGCATAATGATTGAGAACAATTAGTGACACATAGGCCTTGCTTTCTTGCAGAAAATGCTGTCCTGTATCAGAACTACAAGGAAAAGGCCCTTGACATTGATTCTGATGAAGAGTCAGAGCCCAAACAACAGAAGTCAGATGAAAAAATTGTGATTCACCATAAGCCATTGAGATCCACATGGAGCCAGCTCTCTGCGGTGAGTGTTTACCTTTTTTTCTATCTGTGGTAGGAAAAAATCAAGTTGTGGAAATTATGTGTGGATTTGGCTTTTGTTCTTTTCTGCCAGTGATCCTGTAACTGTAGATTGAAATGTTTCTTGAAACTCTGCCGGCACTAATGAGAACATGAACTTTGACATTTCTGATCAGGAGAATTAAGTTTGATAAAGTGCTTTGAGACTGATGTACTGTGAACTCTGGAAACTCTATGAGGTCTCTCTTTTTGTTAAATATAGTGTGTTTATAGTGGTAATAATATAACCTGAACTTTATCATAATTTTGGCTATATACATATGTATATGTGTTTGTGTATGTATGTATGTATATATACATGTATGTATGTACCTATATATGTATCTGTGCATAATAGAGTACTAGTTATAGTTCTTCCTTGGACATTTCTTTATTTGGCAGGAGGAAGGGGTCTCACTCTTGCCTAGTCTGGAGTACAGTGTCACGATCTTGGCTCACTGCCTTCTCCCAGGTTCACGTGATTCTCCTGCCTCAGCCTCCTGAGTAGCTGGGACTGTAGCAGGCATGTGCCACCACATCCAGCTAATTTTTGTATTTTTAGTAGAGATTGGGTTTCACCATGTTGGCCAGGCTGATCTTAAACTCCTGTTCTCAAGTGAGCCACCCGCCTCTGCCTCCCAAAGTGCTGGAATTAAAGGCATGAACCACCGCATCTGGCCCTTCCTCTGGAAATTTAATTTGATATAGAAAGGTTTATATATTCTTAAAGCTGATTAATGAATGGTATTCTGTTCTATCTCCCTCTGTGCCTTTTTTGGGTGCCTGTCTCTGACAATTTTGTGTTGATGAGTAATTTCTCCTCTCTCCCTCAAACGGCTTTTACTTTTTAACTGTATATTTTTTTCCTCCTGGCTTACAAAATGTCACAGTGTGATGCTTAGTTTACGTGATAAGAGTTTGGGCACAGCATTTGCAAGTATCTGATGAATTAGCAAGTAGAAAGGAATTCCCATGGCTGGCTTGGTTGGGGGGAGCTTTGCATCAAAAACAAGGAGTACACCTCCATGAGTCTTTAGGCAATATCAGGCCAGAGATGACAGAGGTGTTCAGAATCAGGAAATCTCATGTATTTAGGGAACCACCAGTGTAAGAAAAGGAGTTGTTGATGTTGGTGCCGTATAGCCAGGCCCATGGGAATGTGTGTATGTAAATCGTGGGAGGCAACTTCTGCTTCAAGCTCTACTTTGCCTCCTCTAACCTGTATTGGAATTCAAAATTCTATACACCAAGCGCTTTCTCCCTGTCTTCTTCCCACCTCCTAATTTTGATCTCAGGGAATCAATTTATTTCCAATGCCTCTGAGGTATAGCACCCTTAGTATTATGCCAAAAATTAAAATAACCACAGTGGCAGGGCAAGTATAATGAATATGTGATGCTGGTGTATATAGGTGATAGGGAATGGTGGGAGGTGTGGTGAGCAGGTCTTACATAAATTGAGCAGCTACTACTTAGCTCAAACCAGGTGAGTGCAGGGGCTCAGTGTGACCAGATGTTCTAATAATTAGACAATAGAGTAACTTCTGTGATATTTTAAAAATTTTTGCATCTGGTTAGGAGGTAAAAGCTAACCACAGAATTGTGTATTAGCAGCCATATACCCTAATCTAATGACGTCATGATATATGTATCCCAAAACAGATATGTGGAAAAACTGGTGACAAGGTCCATTGAGGCCATGTCAGCTTTAAATGGCTGTCATTCAGTTACTTCAGTTGTTGGTAGGGACCATTTGGTAGAGGGTCCAGAAGAAGAAAGAAGGCTGTGGATTTTTTGTTTTTTCTTTGTGGCAGCAACTGCGTTTGTTAGCACAGGCCTAAATCCTGCTGTTGGTCTCTGAAAGAATGCTAAAAAGAAATGTGGATTTTATGTCATTTACACCCTGATCCCACTTAGCTTTAGCCCGAGAAACAGGCTGCCATATTTATGCCTCCTGGAGTTTGGCTTTTATATAGATAAACAAATGCACATACAATTAAATAATAGTGCATATCCTTCAGTTCAACTTTGTGGACATGCATTATTTTGGCGAAAAATAAATGATGTGTCTTTTGTAAACAATATTGATATCATAGAATTATCTTGTAATAAAATGTAAAATTATAAAGTGAGTTCTGACTTCAGTGTATGTTATCTTGGAGTTGAGTGTTCCCAGGAGGCTTGTGTGTATTTGTTGTGTTGCTTGGCAATTACATTTAATGAAAGTAGCATGATTGGACTTTGCCACTTAGCATTGCTTAGGCGCCAGCTTGCACTTTCTTTGTGCCTTTTATGTCTTCTTTTCACTTAAATTTTACTTTAATTTTTTTTTGCTATAAAGTGCTTTAAACCTGTAGAAACATTAAAAAATAAAATAAAGGTAATCAATTTCTGTGTACCTATCACTCAGATTGAACAAATGTTATTTTAACATATTTGCTTCATTTTCTATTTTTTAAGACTATTTCAGAGAATCCCTTCTACCTTTCCAGTTCTTTTCTCCTCCCTACCTCCCGGAGATAACCACTATCCCTGACCTTCTCTTCTGTCCTTCTCATGAGGATTTTCTGTCCACCAAAAAGATATAAGCAGTTCTGGCTGTTAGGAAAGTAAGTATTTTAACACCAGAAAGCAACCATTACCTTTTCAGAAGTTTATCCGCTACTAAATTTTCAAGTTGCATTTAGGACCCTAAAGAGAGAAGGCTTCATGAATTATTAATGATGTCAGGATGTTTCTCGGAAGTGGTTGTCACCTCCATTTCTCTATCTGACCTCTCTTGGTAGTGAAGCTGCAGCATTTAGGGTAGGTCTCCAAAGACTCTCAACTTTAATGTATATATTCAACTTAAATATATATGTGTGTGTATATATATAAAGTTGGAGGTCTATATATAAATATCTAGTATACTACATATTATATATTTTAACACCTAGTATAATATGTAGGTTAAACCTGATATTATGTGTATATTAAATACTAGGTTTAATATATATATTAAATTATATGTATATTATATTAATTATATATATATTAAATACTAGATTTAATATATATATTATACTAGGTTTAAATATTAAATCTAATGTAATTAATATGTTAAACCTAGCATTTTATTTATACATATATATATATATATGTATATATATGTAAATCCTTCCATGCTTAACTTTTAGTAATCAAAATAGTAGGGTAGCCCCTGTCTAATTTTGCATATAATATTTTAACACAAAACTCTTTTTAAAGTCAAGTCTTAATCCTAGAAAGAGAATAGGACAAAGGGTTTTCTGGCAGTGGGTTAGGTCTCAATTTTGCATATACCTTCACTTTCTGCTGAGGAGCAGAGGGAGTGAGTGCATATGTTCATTAGCACTGTTGATTGTTTTGTTTTCTAAAAAATCTCTTATCTTTATTGCAAACACCTGCCTGCCTCCTGGGATGGTGAAACTGTCCTTATCAGTTGACTATAAAAAGCATTCAGTATGCTGAATACTTTTGAAGTGTAGCAATTTGCAATGATTTATGGTTGTTACATAAGATCTTTAAGTCTTCAGCCTGTGGTGTAATTTGTCTGAGCGTGTTTGTTTATGTCTCCTTCGGTTTCACTGGACCATGCCGGGTAAGGCAGTGTTCAGCTATAAATGTGGCAGGCGGTTCCCCATTTATGGTCTTGGGACAGGTTTAACTGTAGTGTTGTCATTTTGGAGTAAAGGAGAATTAGAATTAGAACTGCATAAGAGGGATTTATTTAATTGGACCTCAATAGAATAATGAATGATAGTCATTTCTTTAACTGACCTGGGTTCTTGAATCTGAGGAGATGGGAATGAAGGCTTACTCTTCATTCACTTGATTTTCAAAGTATATCTATTCTTAATTGAAGTACAGGATTTCTTCACTCTAGGGAATATAACTTTGTGTTGAGCATCAGGCCTTAGGGAACCTAAATGTATTTGAAATAATTGTTTTTTAACCTTATTTTAAGTTCAAGGGTACATGTGCAGATTCGTTACATATGTGAACTTGTGTCGTGGTAGTTTGTTGTACAGATTATTTTATCATCCAGGTATTAAGCCTAGTACCCATTAGTGGTTTTTCCTGATTCTCTCCCTGCCACCTCCACTCTCCAGTAGGCCCCAGTGTGTGTTCTTCCCCTCTTTGTGTTCATGTGTTCTCATCATTTAGTTTCCACTTATAGGTGAGAACATGCGGCTTTTGGTTTTCTGTTCTTACCTTAGTTTGCTGAGGATAATGGCCTCCAGCTTCATCCATGTCCCTGCAAAGGTCATGATCTCATTCTTTTGTATGACTGCGTAGTATTCCATGGTGTATATATACCACATTTTTTTTAAATCTAGTCAATCACTGATGGGCATTTAGGTTAATTCCATGTCTTTGCTATTGTGAATTGTGCTGCACTGTGTATAAAGACACATATATGTGTATGTGTCTTTATAATAAAATGACTTACATTCCTTTGGCTATATACCTAGTAATGAGATTGCTGGGTTGAACAATATTTCTGTCTTTAGGACTTTGAGGAATTATCACACTGTTTTCCACAATGGTTGAACTAATTTAGACTCCCACCAACAGTATATAAGCATTTCTTTTTCTCAACAACCTCACCAGCATCTGTTATTTTTTTGTACTTTTTAATAATAGCAATTCTGACTGGTGTGAGATGGTATCTCATTGTGGTTTTGATTTGCATTCCTCTAATAAGCTTTTTTTTCATAATTGTTGACTGCATGTATGTCTTCTTTTGAAAAGTGTCTGTTCATGTCCTTTGCCTACCTTTTAATGGGGTTGTTTTTTTCTTGTAAATTTGTTTAAGTTTCTTAAAGATATTGGGTATTAGATCTTTCTCAGATGCATAGTTTGCAAACATTTTCTCTCATATTGTAGGTTGTCTGTTTGTTGATAGTTTCTTTTGTTGTGCAGAAGCTCTTTATTTTAATTAGAT